AATGCTACTTCAACTCACAGCCAGTTTTAACATTTGAATCTCTTGAAAATTTGTTTTTTAAGTTTATTGTTACTATCGCTTCATGTGGACTGATCCTTGTGTTCCAGCCTTAGTCCTGTTACCCTATGTGAGAGGGGCTGCATTCACTGGAAGTCTTGCGCTGAGTTCTTCAGTCCTGTTTTTTACAGTTGTTCTATCTAGAGCCTGTGTACTAAACACATCAGAAAAATCCTTGCCCATTCTCTCCTTCCTTTCCTCTACACTCCATAAAATCCCTGTCTGACTATTGCAAAGTCACCTCTCTTGGTGCATTATGCCAGACTCCATTTTCCTGTGTTAGCTCCTAGTTGTGTGTGGGATGATCAGGGAGGTTTTTTTCTCAGAAGATTGCACATCAGTGTCCTAGAATTGCTAGCCTTCAGGAACCCTTTGTTAGAAAAGCTAGGATTAGGACACAAGTGGTGGTATAGCCTCCCTGAAACACAGGAGTATTTGCCTGAATGAGAAGAGTCCAATTTTTTAATGGGGATGAGGGGAATCTAGCCTTGAAGTCTGTCTGAATACAGAGAAAAACTGATCTAAGAGACTCTGAGCCACAAAGCATTTATTTCACAAGAATGACATCCTTCTGGTTTTTGGAGCCAGCTATACATACAGGGCTACCATTTTGTAGACCTTTTTCACATTCTTTAATGTCATTGATTTTGTAACTACTAACTGATCTCAGAAGGACCTCAGATGGATGCCTTGGCAATCTAATGGAGCTGTGGTCTCTGTTTCCTTCAATTTTCCTCAATGGGGTGTTCTGCAAAATCCACAGAAGCAAAGCCGTTGTTGTAGAATCATTTCCACCTGGCCAGATGGATCTCCTTTTATGCTAATAGTTCTCCACAGGCACACTGGTATCCAGGCTCAGGTACCCTGTCTCCTCTCTCAGAGAGAAGGATGGCCATAAATTTCAGTACCTTCCAGGCAAAATGCAAACCCCACTTTTTTGACCAAGATGTCCATCAATAATACGAGATTTAAAAGGGCAAAAAATACAAAATGAATTATGCCCAGTTCCTCCTGACTGGGAGGAGAGATTGTATCTCTTGTGGAAGGTGCTCAGATGCGGCATGTATGATGGTTACATAAAGATAGATGAGGCTGAAAAGGATAGATATATAGAGGATGAAAAGGATCTTTGGTACCTATGAGAAGACACACAGTGATGAAAATTCGTGCCTTGTACTGAGAGCACCTTTCACTTGAGGATCTCAGAGCTCCTTAGCGGAGCAGTGAGGATGAACATCCCAGCTAGTTTTTTAAATTTGTGAATGGGATTATATAATGGGGTTGCCTGCAATAGCCATGGGCTGTACTTAATGACCCAGGAGGTCCCTTACAGTTTCATGTCCTATGATCCTCCCTAAAGATAAGGTGCCAGTGGTGTGGGAAAGGCCAAGCCACCAATTTAATGGTTTCTACTCCTGTGTAATCCATACTTTCCTAAAGCTTGGAAAATATGGTCTTCTCCCCATTATAGAAAATGGAACATGCTCCTTGTATGTTGGCATAAAGCATTAGGGCCAATTCCTGTTCCCTTGATCACATCCTTCACTTTCTCAAAGAGGATCTTGACAAAATCCTTGCTGTCAGCGCCTGTTGTGTCAAGATCCCTTCACTCGCTGCTGTCAAAGAGAACATCATTGGGCCTCATCTGCTAATAGAAGGCTTCCTTCAACTTTGTGTAAATAAGCCTATCTGGATACCTGTTTTGTACCCATTTGGAGTCTGAATTTAGTTCTCTCCTACCTTCAAGACTCGGAAGTGTCAGTGAGTTTTCTATTGGCTTTTTAGTCATTTTTCTAGATAATATTGTTTCCAGAAAAGGGATCAGCAAGTTGGCAGCTATCTCTTTATCTCCTCTCCCTTACTCTCTTTCCACAACAATAAGACGATGGAGGGAGAGGGAACATGTTGGTGCTCAGTCAGGAGCTAGTTTCTGTGGCAGCCTCTGAACACTATGGCCTTGAGGTTCTATCTGGAAAGAATGAGAGGAACAGAAATCTTTAAATAGTTAGTCTGTTGGACAGAATCGGGGATGGAGACAAGGCCTCTGAAAATAAATTTGGCCCACTGGATTAAAACCTATAGATCAGGTGTTAATCTAAAGGGATCCCCTGCTTCCCAGAATATTCACCCACAGTAGAAGAAAAATACAAAGGGGCAGTATGATGCTCTGTCCTTTCTCTTAATCGGTATAAATGCCTAAGCAGAGGAGGCTTTGAGTGCTGAGAGCAGTTGTCTTTGTGTCGTCATTGTGTTAGAGGAGACAGATCCTTGACTGGTATATCAGAGAAAGCAAACATTAGGATTTTACATCTTAATGTTTCTGCACCTCAGAAACACCAGTGTAGAACAGGGATTCTCAAACTTTGTCACAGTGAGCCTGCCTAAGCGCAGAGAGAGAAAAAATTGAACCTCCCCAGCCCCCCATCGTTTACAGTGACAATACAAACCTGAAAATCCTATACTTTGCAAGAACACGAATAATAATGTAGAAGTGTATGCTCAATATAGTTAAAATAAGTGTATGAGTATCAAAAGTACTAATTTTATTGCATAAATTATCTTTTGTGCTATCTCACAGTTGTGTTCCAAAAAAAATGCAAACTGTAGCAACTAAAATAAAACTTCCCAAACATTTTAGGAAATCATAACACCATTGACTATGTGACACGCCACAGCTGTCCTGGGCTTACAGGCAGGGAACAGGGCCCCCCATTTAGTGCAGGTGGCCCAATGGGTGCGGGTGGCAGGTCAGAGCATGGCAGTCAGAGGTTCACCAGCACTGAGAGTTCCGCATAGGTCTGGTGCAGTAGGAAGTCCATCAGGGTACTGGTAGAATCTCCTTCCTTAGAGGTTTTTAAGCTCAGGCTTGACAAAGCCCTGGCTGGGATGATTTAGTTGGGGATTGGTCCTGCTTTGAGCAGGGGGTTGGACTAGATGACCTCCTGAGGTCCCTTCCAACCCTGATATTCTATGATTCTGTGATTCTAAGCTGGTAGCTGGGACTGAGCTGGGCTGCTGCTGGCTAGGACCAGCTGGTTACTGTCTAGCTGCACTGGTGCAATAGGGGAGGTGGTGTGTCACGCTGAGCAGGAACCATGCAAGATCCTGGCTCCCCACTGCCACAGGGAACCCCATGGTGGCTTCTCCCTGTCACAAGCAGCCAAGCTCCAGCACCAGGGATGGAGAGGAAGGCAGTGCCAATAGCCTCTGCAGAGCTAAGAGCCCACTTTGCATAAGGGGTACTGCCATAATAGGGGCACCAGCTGGAAATGAACAGCTGCAGCAGCTGGGGAAAGAGAGCCCTTCTGCTAAGCCCAATTCATCCAGCCCTGCAGCTCAGGGATGAACAGTAGCTCAGTAGCAAATGGAGGGGATATTGTAGGGCAGGGCTGAGATGGGTGGAGGGGAGCCGTGGGTATGCTGCAGGGCTGGGGTAGGTGGAAGGGGATGGAAGGGAGCCCCTGGGATATTGTGGGGGTGCTTCAGCCGGGAGCTGGAGGAGCCCCAGCTGAGCTGGTGAGCCAAGCACAGGGGGAAGATGGCAGGGATGGGAGGCCTTGTATTACTGGAGAATCAGGAGAATCTGTGTGCTGCTGCAGGCAGAGATAAGTTGGGGGATGGAGCAGGGGAGCTCCTGCAAGCTGCTTCCCCCACAGATCCCTGGCTGGCCCCTGTCCCAGCACTGTCCTCTGGACAGAGCTCTGGCTCCTTCTGCCCTGCCCCCTGGCAGAACAGAGCTCTGGGTCTGCTCTGGGAGCACTTAACCGCTGGCCAAAAAACCACTGGCACCTGTGCCTCATAGTTTGAGAACCTCTGGTCTAGAGTGACCCTCCCTGGTGCTGCTGATGCCCTTTCCATTATTGTTACTTTGATAGTTTTATGTCATTAATATTTCGTGTTCATGTTTAGGAATAGGTAAAGTTTCCACCTGCCTCCAGACTCTCCCTCGGGTTTAGCTTCATGGTAAGCATAAATCATTACACAATGTAAAGTACAGTTTGAAGTTATTTCCCAACCATGGCTGATGTAGAGTTTTTCCCTGTGAGGCCTCTATTGCAAACTTCAATTTCCTCTGCCCCTACAGGGCTCAGCCCCTCTCAATCCTAAATCCACATGCTAGTATGCTTCAGCAGTAATTATGCTGTACCTTCATGCATAGTTCAAACACCTGATAAGACATTGATTTTGCAAGTGGCTCTGCATCTCTATGCATTGTCATAAAGTCTGTCAACCTATTACAAGAAGTTCATAATCACTGTTTTCTTATTACTCCTTTTAACCATCGAATAGACAAATGGTAAGAAAGCTTCAGCTAAGAGTCCCAGAGATAGGACAGGACCAAAACTTTTGTTTCTGTTTGGCACTTGTATGATGTGAGCAGATGATGGTGCATTCCTCATTGGTGTAGCAGATGTAAACAAGACTTCCTTGCAGATAGAAGTTCTCATTCATGTTTGGATTTAAATCAAATTAGCTTGAATGCGTCAACATTTTGAAGCTGTAACTGTATTTTTATGACATAATTTGAACTATAGTTATCAACAGATCTTCCAAGACTGAAAAAGTTTTAAGAATGAAAGGGAATTTCAAACTGTCATTGGGTAATTCCAGGTAATTCCACAATAACAGTTACTAGAGCTTGCTGGAACTAAAATGTGTCTAGCTTAATGATCGTCCTATGGTTTTTAGAGGAGAACAAACACTGTAATAACCAAAGATGGGAAAAGACTGTCTTTGCTTCTTTGTGAATCGTTTTTTAGAGTTTGATAGGTAATGGAAAGTTTTGGCATTTTGATTGCAATTTAACATGGCACAGTAAGAGAAAATAAATGGTTTTTCACCATGGATATAAATGAAGGTTTGTTGAATATTTCTGTTTGGTTTAGGACTAACTGTTAATTGTTCACTTTTATATATGGAAAATGTTCTTCCTTCCTTCTTAGCCTTAGATTGTAAGCAAAAAAAGTCAAGATCAAGATCTGGAAGCAAGAAAAAAATGCTGCCATTACCTCACGGAGCTGATGAAGTTTACATACTCCGGTGCAGGTACCTGCAGGGGGTTTATAATGGGTTAATTGGAATTACAGGGTCTGGGGTTTTTTTTTAAAAAGAGGTTATAAATTGTTGCCTTTATATAAGAATATTCAGAAGTATATATTGTAACTGCATTTGATTTTAAAAGCCAGTATTGAGCAAAACAAATAACTAAGTTTAATATTACAGTAAGCTAAACAAAAAAGAATCTGAAACAATTTGGAATAGACTTTTTTTTTCCCCCTCCCCTCGCTGAAAATGTGTTTTCCATATTTCATATTTGGGCAATGTTCTTCCCCTGCACAAAACAAACAAAAGCCTATTACTGGAAATGGGCCATTAACTATAGCATTACAATTGTGAAGGTATAATGTATAGTATAAACTTTAATCTTGTGCTTGAAACAATTATCAAGTATTGTTGAATTAAATGAAAACCCTAATGGTTTCATGGTTAAAAAATATATTAAAATGAGCTTTTAGGAGAAAAGTTGACTTTCGGTATAATTCTTAACCCTTAGCAATGTCTGCTGACTTGTACTGTATTTAATGCTAATATATCTTGATGGAATGATTTTAAAATTTGCACAGGTTTTGTGGTCTGGTCTTTCGAGGACCATTGTCTGTTCAGGAAGACTGGATAAAGCACTTGCAGAGACACATCGTCAATGCAAATCTTCCACGGACTGGGGCTGGCATGGTTGAGGTCACATCGCTATTTAAAAAACCTGCTTCAATTACTGAAACTTCGTTTTCTTTACTGATGGCAGAAGCAGCATCATAGAACAAGGAAATGTTTTAAATTGAATTGGATGTAAATTTGAAATACTTTGTCATTTTTTAAAAAATATTGCTACACTAAATTATGTTTATAAATCCTAAAGCCAGAGAAGTAGGGAAAGTGAATTACAGTAACATCAAAACAAATTGAGTACTTAACAGTTACAGTAAGTAGTCTTTATATTTTATATAGGGTGGCAGATGTGTTTTTAAGGTTTACTATGTTTTTGTCAGTTACTGTGTTCACTATCAATACAAGATCATTACATGTAAGCAGCCATTTTTAAATTGTTGCACATGGGTACTTATAGACAGATTTTATTAAAAACAAACCATGCCCTCTGCAGTGTTACCAGAATCAAGGCTCTGTTTATTCAAAACAAAAACACACACACACACACACAAAAAACACTTGCATAGTAAAATAAGATATTATATTTTGTTTGTATGTATGTAGTGTTTTGTATAATTCCAAGAACCGCTAATACAACTTACTCAACTTAGGGCATTAAATATCATGTACTTCATAGTTCAAGAGACTGTTTCATTCAAATAGGGCAATTAGTACTATTCTATCTAGGTGTGTAAGTGTTTTTTTAAATCATATGAGGCTTTTTTGTACTAAAAAGTGGAGGGAAACTTGTTTAAACAAATATTTCTAAGAGAAATATGTACATAGTACTGGAAATTATTTGTGGTAAGGAAGTATTCTTTACTTCAGTTGCATTTCTCACTGACAATAAAGTGGTGCATCCATGCTACCTCCTACTTTGTCAACAAAGATGTTATTTACCCTTTACATTTTTGTATCATAGTAGATTCAAATCTAACTTTCTTTATTGCAAAGCATTTTTTTTGTTAAAGTTTGTTTCCTTATGATGTTTTACTTAAAGTCTGACTTGCTTACAGAACAGTTTGCCTCTCTACTACTTTATTTAACACTGTAGAAATGTACTAAGAACTGCTCACTACACGGTTTAGGACTAGACTTTTCATTTATAATTCTGTTTAAATTTTTTTGATCATTTTAACAAATTTGAACACATTGAAATGTTTCTACATATGAAGAGAATGTTTACAATTTAAATTTTAGAACTTGTTTTGGATGTGATTCTATGTATGAAAACTGTGTAACACTATGCTCATGCTAAGGACCTACGTACGGAATTACTGAAATAAATGTGCTGTGAGGATGGACAATATGGTGCAGGTGTCTTGGTCATGATAAATTGTGTTTGTTCATTTAAATTGTCATCAAAACGTGATTTAATTTTTTAATCAGTAAATCAGATTCCTCTACAAATCGGTTTTGTATGCAAGTAACATTTCATTTTATTCATATAGGGTAACTAAAACTGTAGTTAAATCAAGAATATGCATTGGTATTTTCTTTATATGTAAATAAAGTTAAAAGCAGTTAAAACAAGGAGTATTTTGGTAGAGTATATACATACCTCACTGCCAGTGAAATTGCTTTCCTATGGTATATCTCCTTACCAGAAAAATCTCTAAATAAAAAGGTTTAAACAAAATCTAAATGTCTATAATGTGAAGCATTTCTTATTTGCGTTATGTATGAAATAACAGTTCATGAGAAGTTGATTTGTCTTGCTTGAGATTAGAATCTCCTCATTAGTGATCCAGAGTAGAATACATTTATTCACAACATAATATGATCTGTTCACAGATACATTACATTTGATTGGTGTAAATGTCAGGGTGATTTTTTTTTTATAAAGTTGAAATAATCTCCATACTAGCACTTACTAATATCTTGCAAAAGTAGCTCTCTAGATGTCTAGGCTAATGTCATTAGAGAGGTATTGTAATGTATTCTTAGTGTAACTCCCTGTGGATAACTTGAAGCTTTAACATGTCCATTATATTGTTACCTGTCTGAATCAAAAATACACCTCAAAATATTCAAAGGATTTTTGGCTGTGGGAAAAATTTGAAAAATAGGATATCTGAAATATGTTGATGGATAGTACAAAACCATCCTACTATAATGTTGTAGGGCTTCTCTTGTTATTTAAAAAGAGTGCTGTCTCCTGATATTTTTAGTATCAGAGGAAAATCTCACAGCAATACTCCTGAGCGTTTCCTTACGTGGTTTTGGTTTGATATACTAAAATTGCATTTAATCTTGATTTTTTTTATATCTGACCGAAAAACTGAGTGTCTGTTATCATTTAGGAACTGATCCTACACTGTGTAGCACACAGGTGGACTGCTGTGCCCATGCAAAGCTCCATCTACATCAGTTGGGCTTTGCTTGAGTGCAGCAGTACACCCACACATGAGACAATGTGGGATCAGGGCCTTATTCTCTGTCTGCATAGGAGCTGGTTTAGTTGTGGATACTGAAAAATAAGTAGATGTTTGCAAGCAACCTGTGGGATTTTGAGCTCTTGTGGAAAACTTGCTTTGTAAGTGAAAGTGGAGGATTAGAAACAACATTCATGAGAAATGGATGTAAATTAGATAAGAACAATGACATTGCCTTGGAAGTTCATAATGTTTTATTAGAATATTTGTTTATTCTTTTCACAAAAAGATGTTAAGCATATTCTGTGGCTGGTTAACTTATGAAAAATTTGGTGAAGCTACACTGATAATTAAACATTGCTAAATATGCCGATAGAGTAAAACCATACCATGCAGAATTTAGCAGTAGTAGAAAATCTAACTAGGTTTTCAACAAGATAAATAACTTGAATTTTATTTAGTTCATTCAAACCAGGCAGTGTGTAATATCACTGAGTGAATCACTTTATATAACATCTTCACTTGTAACGTTAAGTTTGAAGAGCATATGGGTCTAGTCCTATAATCCTTGAAGGAGGAGCTCTGCAACTTCCAGGATCAGGCCCTTACATTTTGAGAAAATGGACTGTTTGTAATGGCTAGAATTCTGCATAGTGTGAGCCAGAGCTGCACAATTCTTCAGATATACCCTCACTGCTAATCCCGATCTGTCTCAAAATGCGGCATCCTGCTGTGCTTGTCGTGGACTCCTACGGATATTTTTTTTTTTAAATATAGCCAAACCTTAGCACTCTTTGAAGAGTTAAATTCATTGCACTTGGGACCTACATAGGTTTTGAAATGAATTCTCTAAAAGCAACTTATTAAATTATCTATCTCTAGGTCTTTTTCATATAACCCTATTGACCCAAGATGTTAGGATTTCTCTACTCTCCTAGTGTAAGTGTTGCTGGGAGTCTTGATCCCCATCAGTATTTGCTGTCAGATTCCATAAATCCCTATTTCCAGTTCTATGGAGGTAATGAAAAATCTGATAGAACAGGCTTAGTTAAATGGCGTATCCTTTTTCATTTCACAGAGAAGTCTTCAATTTTCAGACTTGTGCACCTAATTCCATATTTAGGCATCTGAATAAGTGGCCTCACTTTCAGAAGTGCTTAGCATTCAGAGCCCGTTCAGCTCCCACTGACTTCAGTGCTTCCATTGATTCAGTAAGGTGCTCAGTACATCTCAGCCAATGTTATGTACGTTCCAAAATATGGATTTTCACACTTTGTGCTGGGCATCCAATTTGGTCTTGTGTTTGGCCTTTTCTTTTGTTTATAGCCATTACTGGTTACTATACTTTAATATATTTATTGGTAACCAGCTGGGTTCCCCATGCCTTGGCCTCTCCGATGAGATCGCCGGAAAGGGTGCCAATTGTGCTGGATTGTTTTTGTGTTGCACACACTTTTCCACTAGGAACTGAATGGAGATGACGACTGACTTAACATAAATCATTGACTAGTTCTTACATGTTGTTTTGTGGCCAATTCAAACGGCCCACGTTCAGCCTGAACTGATAAGGCTGATTTTTTTTTTCCAATTAGAAGAGTTTGTTGGATATTTTTAGGTAAAATATATAATTTGTAGAAGAGGGATTACAGCTTTCCAAAAAGTTTTAAAGAACTGGCAGGAAAAACAAAGGGATGGGTGTTTGGTGAAGTGCAAGACAGTTTTACAGTGGATCATTTATCATGGATGTCAAGCAATGAGACTGATTGGTCTGATTTTTCAGAGGTACCACCTTTTAGATTTCGTGGACTCCCATGGGAGTTACAGGTACTCAAAACCTCTGAAAATCAGGCCACACACTTTTTCCAAAGTGTTTGTCTTTTGTTAGCCACCCTTCCTGAGGCTGCAAATGACAAAATTTCTCAGTCCAGTCCTCTTTAAGCATAGGGATGTTGACTGTTGCTGTGCTTCGGAGGCTTTAGGCAGAGGCTTCACTAGGGAGTTGAACCATTCGAATTGCACTCATGTAAGTACCAGTGATACTGTGTGTCCATAGTAGCCATGTTTCAGGCTAAAGACTGTTGCAGTTCTGCTCTGTCTCATTATATTATGCTCTTCTACAGCAATGTAGTTGCACTGACCTCCCAATAACTATCTTAGTTTCTGGTACAGCAGTTGCTTCTGGAAGATTGCAGAAGGACTTCTAGAATGTCCTCGGAAGCACAGGAGAATTATGGAGAAAAAGTCAAATTTTTGACAAGCCGTTAGGAGGCATCTGAGTGAGCTGCTGCAGAGTGGCGAAATTGTTCAGACAATACCTGCAGAGAGCTAGAGAGACAAACACACATCAGGCACTTACTGCTGCTTGCCACATGCATAACTGTGTGTTTTAACTCTTGGATGAATTGCACCCAGTGAACCACAACTACAAGCTTGTGGGACAGAATTATTCTGGTGACTTGGGATGGCCAGCTACCTACAGAACCCTGGGATGAAAAAATAAACTGTTCTGGAACTCTTATACTGACTTGGCCCCAATACTGCAGTGCTAGACTTCTGTGGAAAAGAGTAGTCGTCATCCTGTGGAATCTGGCCACCCCAGATTCATTATCAGTCATCTGGAGAGAGTCAGTCCGGGATCAGGAAGTCCATGGTAGTTTCTGTTCTGGTGAAAGTGTCCAAGACAAAACCTAGTGTATTGCAGGAGTGTGTGATCAAGCTGCTAATGTGCCTAAGTTTATAAGGGTATTTAAACAGTTGGGTTTTGTGAGTTGTTGGTGGAAGAATCCATGTATCTATCCATTCTGTGTCCCACCACCTTCCCAAACAAGCTCAGGAATACACTTAACTGGAAGGGCTACTTCTCCATGGTGGTGCAGGCCTTCTTGGATTTTTATGAAAAGTTCATGAAGCCTTCAAACATGGATAATTCCAGGATTTTCAAAATTTAGAACTTCAGAAGAGTGAGCAGTGCGGAATCCACCAAACTATTTTGACATTAATGGTGTTCTCTTCCCAGGCTTGCTCATAGATTAGGCCTTTTCCTGAGCATGCAAACGTATATAGAAGAAAATTCAGGTGTACACTGAACAGAATGATGATTGCTCTTATGAATGGTTTTTGGAAATAGTAATTAGGGATTAGGATGAAATAAGGGCTATAGTTAACAGATCTCTCCACTAGACTCTAGTTTGTACCCCACTAATCAGTGGACTGTTACTTGCACATTGGTTACATTCCAGAATTGTGCTTTATACAGTTTTAAAGGTATTACCTAAACAGCGAGAGAGAATCTGCTTAGGATAGTGTTTCATAGAAAGTCAGACTAATTTCATGTGATTTCAGGTGTATAAGCTCAGCATGCAATGTAGATGCCATTGGCTGGCACGTGGGCTAGCAGAGTCAATGTAATGGAAACATTTTGGCCATAGTGCCCAATATGTAACTTCTTGCAATAAAATGTTCCTATGTTTTGCCTTTTAACACTGCCGTTGGTGTGACTTCTTGAAATTTTTTTCCAACTGCTCCTCCTTTCCAATTTCAGCCACCTGACTTGGTTCAGTGAGCTGCCATATATGCCATCCAGGCCCTTCTGCTTCCACCTGGAACAATGCCCTATGCAGCTAAAATCGGGGCCAAGAGAATTACAAGACCTAGGAAATTTGAGGGGCCTGAATTGGGGGAGCTAGGAAGGGTCCAGCCAGGTGTTACTTGTGCTTCAGTGGTGCAGGTGGAGAATGGAGACTGGTGGAGCAGGGAGTGAGTGTGGACACTTCTGCCCTGATATGAGGCTATATCCATCTTTTCACAAATAATAATGGCACTCTTCATAAGAATCTGGAGAACTTTTCCCCTAAGCCTGCCAGATCCACCCTCATTGGTACCTTTATCATAAGGAGCTACCTATCTCCCATAGAGGGTCCCAGATCCCCCAATTCCTCCATCACAGAACTAGCTTGCCCATTGGGTCACCAGTCACGTTTGGATACTGAGTCCACCTGAAAAAGATCCTATGATCCTAGCAGTATATCGTGCATCTCCTTAGCCTCTTGATCCTCCCTGCTGGCAGTCCTGAGCCCTCACAACCACACCACAAAGTGA